ATTTAATTCATCGAGATCCATCGATTTGATTGCTGTACCATCGGCCTCGATGTAAGTTATGTCGCTTGGTTTTAGACCGCTGTGTTTCAATGTCTGTTTCATTATAGAAGCCTGAAATTCGGCTGTAGGAAATAGACAAGTGTTTCTGGAAATGGCATCTGTGTTCCTAACGCAAAGATTAATTACTTCGGCATAAACTCACTTTGCATGTTTGGCTCTTTGAAGGAAAATTGTTCCTATCGACTCGCTTCTCGAGAATCCAGAAGCATTCTTATCAAAAGATTTACTTACCCCGTCGTTTGACAATAAACCTAAATAATGGAACAAGAAAACAAAAAATTATTTATAAATTAGGAATAAATTGATCTTGCTGCTGTTTTATTTATCATTGAAATGATACAAATATAAGAAAATATTGCCTTTTTGTCTTTAAATGCAAGTACTGGAAGAAATTATGCCTAGAATACACTTATTTTACCTAAATCATACAGCTGGTAAGACGTTTGGGGAAGTAGGCATAAGACTCCCCCACTAACAATCGCGTAATCGCAATTTCCAGCTTTTATAGCTTCGTACGCTTTTTTAACTGCTAATGAACTTGATGTGCTAGTTGAATCGATAGTGCAGCTTAAGCTAATTAAACCCATACAAAACAAGATCCGGTTTGCTAGCAAACTACGGGTATTTCCTAATAGACTATATCCATCCAGCTATAATGAAAATAAAAACAATTGTACATAGAATCAATTTTACCTTTAAATGGAATCCTTTAGATCATTTTATTAACTTACATGATTTTTACCATTCACTAAATAAGAATCTTACTCAAAAAAACTCTATACCCCGTAAACATTGGTTGTCTTGTTCCGTAACTCTACAGGATTTATTCCGGCATCAATGATCGCCTCAAACGTAACTTCCATTGTCATTCTTAACTCTGGCGATAGATTTTCTGCCAGAATTGGATTAATTCCAAAAAAATAGTTATCGAATTTCTTTAAATTAAAAATTGTTCCTAAACGCAATGGTATTTTAGGCAAATCATCTAAAAAATAATAATTTATAAAACTCATAAAGAATGTACTGTAATGTAATATATTTCTGTATATATAAATAATAATTTTATATACTAATTCGTACCTAATTTCCATCTTGTATGATCTGAGGAAACGCAATCTTCTCCATTTATTAGATTCGTCCTTAAATCATTGATATTCTCACTTTTTGGAAATTTTCCTGATACWCCAGAWATGACCACTGCATTTTCTTCTAAACCTTCAACTTTCATATTTGCTAAATATATCTATACGAGCAAAATTATTAGCTACAACTTCGTGTGTCTAATGAAGCTATCCAGTGTTGTTGCTATTTATATATCCTCACGGAAAACTTTTATTAAAATGGTTATGTATAACATTTGTTTATAAATTTAAATGCTTTTACATATGATGCATTTTTATTGTACTTTTTCTTTGAAAATATCTTAGAAAGAGGCTAGCGCTGACGTGTGAATCTAAATTGTTTTTTTCTAGACAAATTAAATTTCCATACAATGTATAAGGAAACGATTCAACATTCTTTGATCTTTTTAATTCAGGTACATAAAACAGTTGCTAGGGGAGAATATTTTTTCAAGATTCTATAAATCTGTAAAACCGACTTAAAAAGGAATATATTTTCATCTAATATATCTCTATTATTAATACCTATTGGACATTTTTAATCAATGATTAAAGTTGTTTAATATTATACTGAAATAACAATATATTATTATATRTTGGAGAGAATTAAATCGCAAATAATATTGTAGGATTCGTGAAAATAATTGGGCCTTTGGACTGACACTGGACCGGGACTCGAACTAGGATATTCCGCTCTCCGGGCGACTGCTCCTTATCCATTGAGCTATTCAGGGCCCCCGTCTAATTTTTTCACGAATGCCTATTTAAGTATTTAGCTTAAAGGTGCTTATCCCACAATATAAATAAAAATTTTTGTTTACTAGCTTTATTAAAATTAAACATAATCAATAATTAATAAATATAAATAATAAATAAAAGTAATAATAGTCATAATAAATAATAGTCATATATAATTTGTTATAATAAAACAGTAATACTTGGAAAGAATGTCTCTTGTTTGTAATATTGTACGCATAAGTACTCGCGATTAGAAATAAAAAAACAATTACGTCCGATAAATTTAACTGCTCGTAGATGACATTAAAGAAAACAAATCCTAATAAATAATTCTGTGTTATTTTAGGAACGCTAAAAGAATAATTTTTGTTATTTATTGTATGTTATTCTTTTTATAATTGCTAATTATAAATTTAACAAAAATGAAGATTTCTTAATAAAATAGTAACTTTTGCCAAATGAAGTAACCTACGACGCTCTACAATAAAAATAATTCACTTTTTTTACAGATTATATACCTTATAAAATTAAAATAACATACTGTAGAAGAATCAAAACACAATAAAATTAATTAAACATACAGGTAACCTTTCTATAACTCCAAAGATAATTTCTTAAAAAAGGCTATTTAAAACAAATTCCACAGTTTATTATTTTTTCCGTCACTATATTAAGAGGGTTTTTTAGTCTTGAATTATGAAAAAATCAATTTTTTTCATACTGTCGAAGCTCGGCCCTTTAAGAATGTCTTTAAGAGGATTTTTCATAATTCATTTTATTTTTCGAGACATAGCTATTTTAGTGACGCATCATCAAAACCAGCTCGGCCGGAACGAATCGGATAAAGGACGTTAGGGTTGCGTCATGGTTGTGTCAAGGTTGCGTCAGGGTTGCTAATATATATGTTGAAATACAATAACCGAAGTTTACCTTAATGTACTTTAAAATAATCATTCATATTTAGTGCTTAATTAGATCCAGCTGCCAACAGTTGAATTCTAGCCTTTAAACAATGTGGACGCATGTGCTCTGAGTGAAATTAAAATATTTTTAGTCAAAATTTTAATTATTTAAAGTAAAATGGATCGAATACCCAAAAAGGAAAGTACTTCGAGGGCGGATTGATCAAGTAATTTTACGAGTGCATCAGTAGCAAAATTGATAAGTCAAGTGATGAAGAAGTGATTATTGAAAATAGTTAGAAACGAAAGAAACGCGAAAAATGCTTTTTTTGAAGTCGAGGAAGGTCCAATGTATAAAGCAGGAATAGCAAATAGAATAAATATATATATAAAATATCACTTTATGACTTTGACTCTGTGTGTGTGTGTGTGTGCGCGTAACTTTACGCAAAATTTAAAACGCGTTTTTCTCGAAACTATTTTTTTTAATTCTTGTCATAATTTCTTAAGTTCTACTGAACCGTTTTACTTGAAATTTCGTCTGAGTCTTTTCTATAAATTTCTCTATCGTACTAATGATAGTTTAATACTTATTTTCAATTTTTACTATTTTTTAAAAATCCGGAAATGTCAAAATAAATGGTACAAAAATTTATCATTTTTTTAGGCAGCAGCAATTTAGCGAAAAAAATTTTTTTTTACCTTATTTACAATTAGTACGATAGCAGCGTTACTCTAGGTAAATAATCTTTTTTATTTTTTCATTTTAGATTACTAGGAGGGTTACAATCATGACAAACTTCGCGCGATATTTTTTTTGGACCCCCACTTCATCAGCCTYTTCCTTTTTGAATTTTTCCACTTTTTTTTTTAATGTATTCTATAAATATTAATATATATCTTGTAAAAATATAGATACTAAAAATATTTTTTGTCTTTTTCTCATTGCACTTAAAAAATATCAGAAACCATGCCTCTAGACCAGAATATACCCTTGAAGTAATTTAGTTTCTTAATATGTTAAGTAACCATTGTGTAATCCAGTGCTGTAGTAATACAGTGCTGCACCATGACTTTCGCTATTTTGTTATCGTGTTAGAGCGATACCGTATAATAGGATGCCGCGTTGTAGGGAGGATACAACTACTTTACACTAACGAGAATAAGAAATAAAGAAATAGAAAAAAGTGGAAAAAGAAAATAGGTTCCTTTTGAGAAATCGATCCGGCGATATCAGAAATAAAAGATCGCGCTGCTGCTCTTTACGATACCGAAGAAAGATATTTTCTTTTTTTTTACTTTTTTATTAATTCTATACATCTTTACAATTTGTCCGTAGACATTTGGTAAATTGTTATATAAGWGAAATAAGATAGCACGGGGACAGTTTCTTTAATGAAATGGCGACGCTATTGTAATTTCTTTCAATTAGGTTTAATTTTTCACTAGGTCTCCTGAGTGGATTTTTTTCAGCCCTCAAGGGATATATTGGTTGAAGTAATCGTCGGCTAGGTGGTTTATGTGCATATCAATTCTTCTATTGTATTCGCAGGTTGTCTTTGCTATTTCTTTTTCTGGTTAAAGATACCGTACCAAATTCAAAAACATAGTATATATATAATATAATTGAAAAAGTTAGTTAACCCGTTGCCGCACATTTAATTTGATGATCGTGCTCAGAAACACACTTTTTTTTTTCAATTGTTTATGACTGCCAGATGAAATCAAGTGTAAGTTGTATGTTGAAAGTAAAAATTATCCCATTTGGCCACAGTTTTTCCAAAAAAACTCTCGACGGCTATAACCGTCATTTGCTCATCATGACGACTATACAGTATTTGCTTTACTAATTCAAAATGATTCCTATGAATAAAAGATAGTAAATAGGTGTAATCTTAACATAAGAAAATCAATTTAAAACAAAATTATCATTTGTCATTTATTTTGCTTATAAAATAGTAAAAATAAAATAAAAAATATTTTTGAAACAAATTACATACATACAAAAAAGCATTATAAATGATAGTATTCGAAGCATTCTGGACTGAATGAAGGTTAACTTGCACAAGTTTTACATCTGTATAACGTTTCTTTTCTAATTCGGCTGGTCGTATATTGTCTGCAACGTAAAAAATAAGTTTTACGCTGAAAATCAACAGGCGGAGGTATCTTTTGCAAGAAATGTTGTTGTGGACAACAACAACAGAAAAAAAAAACAAAAAAAAAAATCAAAGTTCATTTTAGCGGTTAAATTTTTTTCTACACAAAGCAAAAAATATATACACTTATACACATACGCTCACAGTGACATCGAAACAAATATTTTTACTAATTTATGAAAAAATAAAATGTACAGTTGGCCGACGGAGGAAGTACACAAGTGTCAATATGTGTAAATTGTTACTGTGTGATAATAGTATAATTTACTTTTTTATTTATTTAATTTTTTGAAGAGTAATTGATCTGTATTTACTTAATTCATGAAAAAGAACTTACCGAATAAATGGTTCGTTTTCGTAAAAGCACACTTTTCAACTGCATAAACTGAAATGAACTGAACATTTGCTACGACGACCAAGCACCGACTGTTATACCCGTCATTTGTCTATAGATGCACAAATATTTCGGTGCAGTAGGGCATGCGAAAACGTATAAAAAAACAATTGATATGCTGTCTGGCATGCTGTACCTTTTTTTTAATGTATTATTCAATAATTAACAAGTGTATGCGTTAATACACTTCGTTCTAAAATGTGCTCGAAGGCTATAGCCGTCGTTTGCCTACATTTCAACAAAGATCGGACGGCTATAGCTGTCATTGGCGGCAACGGGTTAAATAAAGATAGATCAGCTTTTATAGGTCGATCAAGGATGACAAATCGACGTGTCATCAGATCTTAAATGTAAGACCTACATATTTACTTCATGAACATATCTTTTTAATTATAATAATATAATAAAATAATAATTTTTCGTCTTGGCCATCGAGTGTCGAGCGTTATGTATACGAGTGCGAGTGAGAYAAGAAACMRATATWTCTCTYTTTCTAATTTTTTCTTCGGAAGCGAGAATTTTTCGTTTTGACGATCGAGTGTCAAGCGTTCTGTATATCTATATATATACAGCGTGCAAAGAGTAGGATTGCGGAAAAACAACAGCGAATACTGCGATAGCGAATTTGTGTGAAGTTTTGAGATAGTTAATTGGTGTGAACTTTTGCGATAGTGAATTGGTGTGAACTTTTGCGATAGTGAAGAATTAGCGTTGAACAGCGTGACAGAGAGTAGTGTGTGCGAAAAAGTATAGAAGAAAAAAAAAATCATGAGCGACGTACGTAAAGCGCCTTCGGAATTTTTAGTATCGGAATTGAAGGAGAAGATGGCAGCTTTGGGACTTGCCACGACTGGTGTTAAAAGCGAATTAATAGCCCGCCTTATGGAAGCTGATCCATCGGGAAATTGGGTGAT